CTCACATCCTGAATATATACTGTTACCTTTCCTTGGGATGCTGCTATAGGGCCTTACATGCCAAAACAACTAGACACAGAGACAGTTTTTCCCTCTTGCCATCACTATGCTGAAGACCTAATCCTCACAGTACTATCTTATCCCATGTTATATCATCATCATCATCATCATCATCATCATCATCATCATCTCTCTGGATACATTTACCTCTAATCTTTTTCTTGACTTCAGTGTGGTTGAAGTTCTCAGCTTCAAGGATACCCGAGTATTTGTAGTAATCTTCCTCATCCAGATTCTTATTGTTATTTTCGTAGGGTATCTTGATTCCTTCAGTTTTCACTATTTTCACTTGTTTGATAGTGAGTGTGGCACATTTGTCCAATCCAAACTCCATTGCAATATCTTGGCTATTTGTACAGACAGTGTTGTGCAGCGATTCTATTTCAGATGGTGTTTTTCCATACAGCTTCAGATCATCCATGTAAAGGAGGTGGGATAGTCTGACAGATATTTTTGATGTTTGATAGCCATGGCCTGAACTATTCAGTATTGTTTACAGAGGAAACAGTGCAATGACAAATAGTAGTGATAGTAGTGAATCTCCTTGAAATATTCCTCTCTTGATATTAACCTCTCCCAGTCTCTCACCACTGACCTGCAACTGTGTCTTCCATTGTGCCATCAATCTTTGCACAAAGTTTCTGATATTTCTACTGACTCCTGTTATTTCTAGGCACTTGATTATTCAGTCATGTGGCAGAGAATTAAATGTCTTTTTGTAGTCAATCCATGCTACATTTAGGTTGGTCTTCCTTCTCTTGAAGTTTTCCAAAGTTTTGCATCCCAGGTATTCAGTTATAACTGCAGCTGTGCTGTACATTAGTTGGTTTGTTTCTTGCAGTGACTTAGTGGTTATACTTGATATTGCAATCTTTTAATGCTTGCACTAGCTGTTTCTTTGGAATAAGCTTCAATGCAGACATCTTATTCTGATGTTTTTGTGCTACTCTAGATGCTCAGTTATTCTGAGCATCTAGAACAGAGGAGAGGGTGCCTGGTTTCCAAATGAAAACAGTTTTATATGTCTGCTGGATTCCTCTACTGACAACTCCCCCTGGTTTGCCTCTACATTCTGAGTTACTTCTGGCAAGGCTTTGATTTCTTTGCCCTGGTAAACCTTTGCAGTTCTTCCAATTCTGCTTCTATTCTATTCTATTCTATTCTATTCTATTCTATTCCATTCCACTCCATTCCATTCTTGTGATAGGCCAGGTGTGGTTGTGTCAAGTGACAGTCTTTTAATGGATCTTATGATGAGTCAGGTGTGAGTCTTCAGTTAGAGTCTTTTGATGGGGATACTACATCAGGTGAGGGTCATTGGGAGATGAAGTGCTGGTGGGGCCTTGTATTGGTTGGTTGAGGGTTGGTGCTTTCTCTGGTTGGCTGTGCAGTTGATTTGGATTCTGAGGAATTTGTAGGTTGGTTGTAGGTCAATGTGTCTTTTGATGGAATTGCTTGTGGAGTTCCAAGTTTCAATGAACTCATAAGCATGACAGGTGGTAGCGTGGCTGATGATTTTTGTGTTGCTCCAATCAAACTGGTGCTGTTTGGTGTCAGTGTGGGTAGAGGCTAAGGATTTAGGATTGTGACATTGCTAGCCAGTGTTTGTGGATCCTGGTTTTTAATTTATGTGATGTTTGTGACATATAGAATTGGTTGCAATTGTTACAATTGATTTTGTAGATTACATTGTTCCTTCTGCATCTTGTTTTTGGTTCTGGATAATTCCTCGTGGAGTGTGACTGTGGGTTTGTGTGCTATTGCTATTTCTAGGGTTTTTGAGAATTCTGGCTATCATTTCTAACACCCATTTTGTGTATATTATGGTAAGGTTAGTTTTTGTGTGGTGGTTGGCTGTGTGATGTGTTATGGTTCGGGTGCTGTATGTCAGAATACAAAGTTTTTTGCATAGCCATTATGGAGAAAGACATCAATTAGCTATTTCTCTTCCACTTTTCTTAGTGTTGTGGTGCTGCAATGTGTCCTGGCCCTTCTGAAGAGGGTCTGGACACAGCTTCTTTTGTGTGTGGTGGGGTAGTTGCTTCCAAAGCTGAGGATCTGGTCCATGTGGGTGGGTTTGCAGTAAACGTGGGTTTCCAGATCTCCATTCTCTAGTCTCCTTATGTTGATGTTGTCTGTTGTCTGTTTCCTTTTTGCATGTGAATTTGATCCCAAGGAATATGTTATTGAGTAGGTAGTGTGTTTCTTCAATTTGGGAGCATTTAATGATGACAAATGTGTCATTGACATAGCATGTCCAGAATTTTGGTTGGATAGTCGGGAGAGCAATGGATTCGAGTTGTTGCATGACTACGTCTGCTATTAGGCCTGAGGTGGGTGATCCCATCAAGTTGCCTTGTACTTGCTTGTAGATTTTCCCATTGAACTTAAAGTATGTGTTGCGGCGTAGATCCAGGAATTTCATGATGGTTTCTGTGGATATGGAGTGTTCTGTGGTGGTATCATCTTTGTGGGTATGGTGTTTAGTGAGTAGGTGGTGTATGGTTTGTTTACCATGATTTCTTCGTTGTGTTTCTATTCTATTCTATTCTATTCTATTCTATTCTATTCTATTCTATTCTATTCTATTCTAAAATATTTTCATTTTAATATCTTATTTCTATGCAAAAGAAAATCAGTCCAGGTCTGTCGTGTTTGCCTAAATTGCTATAGAAATGTGTTATTTGCTCATGGGTTCCATTAGAAATTTAATTCTAGCAAGTTTACTTAACTCCTATTAAGCTTTGAATTGAATAATTTTCCTGTTGAGAAAAGTTTGTTGAAACTCATTAAGCTCCTGTGTCAAAATAGCCCTTTTAAATTAAATATAGCAATACAGGGTAGCTGATTAAAGATATTCTGACATCTAGTTATTCTAGATTTTATTTTATTTAGCTTATATTGAATGATCTTGAAAGTATCATAATTGACACTGATAATATCTGTTCTGGTTATTCCTTTTGTAGATTATATACCTTGTTCCAGTGGTGGGATTCAGCCAGTTTAAACCAGTTTGGCAGAATCGGTAGCTAATTTTTTGTTGCCCAGGCCCAGAATGGATTTCTGGAAGCAGCATCCACACAGAGAATCAGTTGTTCACATATTTGAATCCCAACACTGCCTTGTTCATATTTAGTTGTTGACTTTAACAGTTTGTTCCAATTTGCAGCACATTTTATATAAAGAATCTATAAAACTTAAAACCTGAAAATTGCTTTTTCCTTGAATAGTTACTACTAAATATATGTAAAATATATTAGATTAGTAACAAAACCTCCTCAAAGATATAATTTCTGGAACATATCCTTTTTATTATCCTAGTATTTCCCAAATTTACTTTATTTAAAAGTATAGGTTAAAAAACATTAGACTGATCCAAGCAAAAGCAAATCCTTTATAAGTAAGGATAAGTATAAAGGTGAAAAAACCTGAAGTATTAAATAGATCTGACTTATCTCTACTTACTTAGCATAGAGTTATAAAGAAATCCATATTAGATTCCCATAGCATTCTATCTTTTTCATTTCCTTATTTTGTTTACCGAATAAAAATTAAATTGTAGCAAACAATAGAAATATCAACATCTCTTTCTTCCATCCACACTTTGTACTAAGACATCATGTAGTTTGCTTGATTTGGATTAGCATAGCCTGCCTCAGCAAAGTGTGGTTGTTCAACAATTTTTGACTAAAGGAATTGTGGAATAATATGATTTATGAGCCTAGTCATATATAAGCTGAATGCATTTACACTAAATTCATAGAAGTGATAGTTCTTGTGAATGAAGGTAAATAATTGTATATATACCATGATGACCCAGAAAACTATGTTTATAAAATAGGTGAAGATAACACAAAGGAAAACTTTGCATGGCTAATAAGGTTGTGTAACATATTTTAATAGTATTAATATCTATTTTTAATAAACTTTTATCTGAATTTAAAGTGGTATGTTATTTTTTTATTTTCATTCTAAAGCAGGGATTGAAAGCTATTGCAAAGTCTGGCTAATATTGATCATTCTTATCTGTATCCTCATTTTAAAAAGAATCTGATTTGCTACTGTATTTATGAGAAGTTCTTTGTTAAATGAACAGTACAGTAAGAGCTGATCAACTTGCTAGGATAGCTAGTGAAACTTGTTTTATGTAAGTGCTCTCATCCTGTAATTTTTTGCCCAAGCTGTTTACATTTGTTTGTGTAGCCCAGGGGTTCTCAATTTTTACTTCATCCATCGACCTGTTTTAAATATCTTTTGTGGCCACGGACCATGACTACAGACCACCAAGACTTAACTCAAGATTTAAATCATAACAATTCTTCAAGCCTTCACAGACTCTCTGTGATGACATTGAGCCCCCCAGGGGTCCGCAGACCACAGGTTGAGAGCCACTGATGTAGGATGTTCAGAAACATTATATAACAACAAAGTTCATATTTTGATCTCTGAACTTAAAATAAAATATTGTCAATTCATCCTATATAAATTTAATTTCTTCCATAATATATTCCTCATGGAAGAGAGTAATAGTAACCTATTTATAGTCATATCTGACAGCATATATTTTCTATACTTTGCTTTTCCGCACTGAAAATTAAAGACATGACTCCACCACTGTTAAGGCAAAAATGATGCCTGAATGGATATATAGTCATTCTTCATAAACTGTAACATATACACTTTTAAAATTTAAGTTTATAGTTTTATTTGAATTTCTTAATTGATTACTTTGTTAGGATTGTGTCTTAACTGGTTTTATAGTTTTAATTATTATTTATTTATTTATTAGATTTTTGTATTTTTGAAATATTATTGTATAACCATCTGTTATGATTAGTTATCCCTCACTTTCTATTTTTTTAGTTGGTACATTTTATGGAAAAGAATCTTAATAAAATAGAAATAATAATAGAAATATCAAAATATATTTATCATTTCAGACAACATTACAAGATCTGGAACAAAGGCGCCCACAGCTGGAAGAATTAATAACAGCAGCCCAGAATCTGAAAAATAAAACTAGCAATCAAGAGGCTCGAACAGTCATCACTGATCAAAGTAATGCATTTTTGTATTTAATATTTTAAAAGTATAAAAATCCTGAATTGTATCTAAACATTAAGTAAATGTTTTACTGTATATGTTATAACAACTCTTCTGCTTTCCATAAAAAAAACTCTTACAGAAATTGGGAGATACTCAAAAAGCATTGAAATGTGTATCTTAATAATGATGATGATGATGATGATGATGATGATGATGATGATGATGATGATGATGATGATGATAAAGTTGGAAGGGACCTTGGAGGTCATCTAGTCCAACCCCCTGCTCAGGCAGGAAACCTATACCATTTTGGCCAAATGACTGTCCAGTCTCTTCATAAAAACTTCCAGTGTTGGAGCATTCACCGCTTCTGGAGGCAGGTTGTTCCATTGGTTAATTGTTCTAACTGTCAGGAAATTTCTCCTTAGTTCTAAGTTGCTTCTCTCAGTTTCAATCCGTTGCTTCTTGTCCTGCCTTCAGGCGCCTTGGAGAATAGCTTGACTCCCTCTTCTTTATGGCAGCCCCTGAGATATTGGAACACTGCTATCATGTCCCCCCTCGTCCTTCTCTTCGTTAAACTAGACATACCCAATTCCAGCAACCGTTCCTTATATGCTTCAGCCTCCAGTCCCCTAATCATCTTTGTTGCTCTTCTCTGTACTCTTTCTAGAGTCTCAACATCTTTCTTACATCGTGGTGACTAAAACTGGATGCAGTATTCCAAGTGTGGCCTTACCAAGGCATCATTCCTCCTTCAGAGGAATGATGATATTGTTGGTGAAGTTGTGAAAATTACAGATAGGTTGCTCCCCTGGCGTTCTGCCTGACCTGCGGCAATGTTCTTCATGCTGCAAATGCTTCCTGAAAGTACCCTGCTGGCCCAAAACTTTTGGGACTGAAATTGGTTTAAAATATGTGTAAATTCAATTTAATATGCTTAAAAAAAACCTTTTGTGCAATTTTCAGTTCTATAATAAGTTTAAAATGAATGGTACCCAAGATGCTGCATAAACAAGAACATTCTTTATATAGGGGCTCTGAAAACCAATTGTAGTTTTGCATTAAGTTATATTGTCCCTCAGGTGTAACTATGTACTGCTAAAGCAGTTAGGTGAATGCAAGTAACACTGTGCGGGGAGGTAGGCTTTTGGCATAATCACTTTCTTGACTCTTCTATGAAAGCACAGTAAGATCTTTTAATGAAAATAACATTATTATTGGGATTGCTTTTGTTACTATTTAAAAAATATTAGATGACTTTCTCCCAAAACAACTTGAGATTGCTATTTTTACCAATGTGCTAGAAGATATCATGTTTCCCTGAATGTTAGATGTTGTCTTCAAGTAAAACTTTAGACTAGAAATCATGGGAAATTGTTGTTTCTTTGCTCAATGAATATAATATGGAAGTCATATACTTCCTATCTTTGCTTTCTCCTTCTCCTCCTCCTCCTCCTCCTCCTTTCCTTTTTTCCTTTTGTTTCTTTTTTTCCTAAAGCAGTGTTGATTAATGTCTTATGGTTTTAGGATAAGTGCAGTTCCTCATAAAGGCATAAAGGCACAAACTCATTTCTGCATGATGATCTATTGGTGATTACTTATAAATATAGTTATTTATATTAACTAATGACTTTTCCTCAGATGCCAGTAACTATAAGAATTAAAGAATTTTAAAACTACTTGAAAGTATTGTAACTAGACAAATGACTGACAATCAAATAAGCATGTCAGAGATTTCCTACATATTGTACATTAGTGCAACTAGTGTACAGCAGAGCTAGTCTTTTCTTGAATGCCTACTATATACCCATGTGAATATATAGTATTGTGTGTATGTATATATTATATGTAGTACATATAGAAACTATTAAAAAATCATTCTTGATTTTATACATACTCACTTTCACAATAATTACAAGACTGCCTGACCATATCTATCATTTTATGTCTTTTAACTTCTTTCAGACTGTGATCTTAATGTACAATTTATGTTACTATGGCTCACATTGCTGCGTCCCTAAAGTTTGCAAAGCAGCTTGTAAAATTTGTCAAAAAGTGACCAGTATTAACAGTTAAACATACACCAAACAAAATCTACATTTATATCTTACTGTTGTCTATTATACTTAAACTTTCAATTACCTTGTTTAGCAGACTATTTGTTATAATATATTAGCAGAATTTTTAAAATATTTTACTAATTTCATTTCAGTCTTTCTAGCATACAATTAAATTTATTAGTTTGTCTTATGTCGTAATCATCTTGTATAATTTTAATAGTAATAATAATCATAATTCTCTTGGTACTTGGTACTTCTTCCTAGATTTAACTTCTAGAAAATTTTAAGTTCAGTGCTATAAATTTAAATCCTTTTAGTTACCATGCTCATGTTCTTCATATATCTGGGAGAATTAATAAACTTATAATTTTAAATGTTATCTTATCCCAGACTGACATAAAATAAATATGAATTTATTTATATGTTTTATTTTTATTTTATTTATATGTTTTATTGTTTTATTTTCAAGGATTTCGATGCAACATATATAGTTCTTTTTGCTTTTATATTAGCTTCATGTCAACCTTATGAGAAAGGTTAAGCTGAGAAATGGCAATTGATAAAAGCTCCTCAGCCCACCTCACTGACTGTAAAAGTTTGAATCTGCATTTCAACATTCTATTTAAATCTGTAATTTTTACATTTATGGGCTGTTGTGAATGTTTTAAGCATTTTTAAAAATATCAGTTGATAGTCCTTGATCTGATTATTCCATTTACATGTGGAATATCTTTCACTTGCAGATGCTTTTTTTTTTTTTAAATTAACATGTATGTACTTGAAGCATACAGCATCCAGCAAAACATAACAACTGCATACAACCTACATACCATTGCTTATTCACCAATGATTTATGAACAAACATTCTGGCATATTTTTCTTCTATTATTTTTACCTCATATTAGATTTCCAGGAAAAAATGTAAATCTATATAAATATTTCTGAAAATATAAAATTTGTGACATAGTAGGAGAAAAATAGGAGCAAAAGTATGACAATGCTTCATCATGTAGGTTTATAACATGATAAATTGCTCTAACTCGGAAAATACACTGTAGATATGAATGTGTAGCAAAGAACAATGGGTTTTGTTGCAGTGAAAAGCCTTCAATGTATTGCATCCATGCTTTATTAAACAAGGAATAAATTCTAGATATTTCTAATCTTAAATTGCACAATACTTTTGGATTGGAAGGTATAAAAGTCTTTTAAGTTTCTCAACAGATCTGTTTTTTAAAAAATGATAATAACATTGTTTGTATTCAGATTAAATGGAACAGCATTTCATTCTTTTTATGTCCTTTCTGGAAAAATGTTCTTGAAATTGTTGGAGCAATGATTAAAGATTTCTTCATCCATGAACAACAGCTACATTCCTAATTAAAAACTTGTTCCCCCCAAATAGCTTGTTTAAGAATATAGCCAAAGTTCAAGTAAAATGCTGGACTAGAAATAAACAATTACATACATCATCACTCTTGATTAATAACCATAATATGAAAAGTAGGCAAAAATTAATGAGTTGTTTCGTATAAAAGTATTTTAAAAAATGTACAGAAGTGTATATTTTCATACTTGCTAACTTTGGATAGCTAATTCATATTAATCTTTTATCTAATGTGCTTGATTTTTATCAAATCAGAAATAACCCAGTATTTAGAAAGCACATAGAAAGAACACACTTAGATTTGTTGCTTTATTGTTGCAACAAAATATATAGAAAATCCATCTGCTGACATACACAAAATTCAAGGCTTACAACTGTATCTATACTCCAGGATTCAGATATGGATTGTTTAAAATTCCATTTCTATCATACATACTTTTTGCTATGCAGATTGTGTCTTTGAACAAAATTGTTTCTTTGAAAACAATTGTGTCATAATTGTGTCAGTAATTTTCTTGCACACAGACTCAGATGTACCCAGGATAAACCTAGGAAGTCAAGAGCAATATATTTGAGAGCAGAACGATATGAACTAGGCTTGGAAATTTTTCTTAAGAAAGAGATTCCAACCTTTTTTTTATTTCTAACCTATACACACTGCAATATTTGTAATACCTTATGTCTTCATAGAATCATAGAATGGACAAGAAGGATGACATTTGGGAAATCATACAGTCCAACTCCATTACTAGTGCCAAATTCACTATGGAAATGATGCTCTTCCACTTAGCCTTTGCTAAAATGTCTCCAATGTTTCCATAGCTCTTCTTTCTGATGTCTGTAGAAAATTTGTTTAATCCTAATTTACATCTACAGCTATTTCTCTTATCTTCTGGTTCAGCACTGAACAAATAATATACTGGGTCAACTGAATAAAAGTTCATAAGGCAAAAATGTTACTGATGACTACTACTGCTTAAACGCATATACAATGTAAAAAATGGTTAAGTGCAGAATTGGAGACCTTCTTTCATTCAATGAAAGCAATTCAGATTCAGCTTCTCTCCTTCCAGCTGAATACAACTGATATGATTATTATACAGTAAATTCACTGAGTGCTCCATTATGCATTCTCAGCCAATCTACTCACAGACTTATTTCTGTGGTTATAAGATTTCTGTATAAGATTCTTTGAATTCCTAGAGCATAAGTGTCAAGCTCGCTGTGTCACATGATGTGTTGCGACGTATCACGATTTTTTTCGCATTGCCAGAGCTGGGGGGGTGCAGACTCCGCATGATGCAACAGGCCCACAGGCCAGCAGTTTGACACTCCTGTCCTAGAGGAAAGGTAGGATATCTAATATAGCAACCAAAACTGGGACTGGCAATTCCATCACTAAGCACTATGAATCTAAGCAGAAAATTACCTGACAAACATACCATGTCACATCCCATTTGGTTTGCAAGCAAGTCACACTGGCTGTTAAATATGACATCACATGACCACAATTTGTGATTTTACTTCCAAATTCTCTGTTCACTATGCTTATTGGAAGCCAGTTGTAAAGCACAAGAATGGTGATCATGCCATTGCGACACACTGCAATGATTATAAATACATACCAGTTGTGAAGTGTCTTAATGACTATCGGGACTATGGGGCAGTGTAATGGTCATAAATGTGAGGACTGGTTACAATGCTAATTTGTTATACCATTGTAACTTTGAATAATCATTAAATAATGCAGTCTGTAAGCAAGGACTTATAGGACTTAAATAAATGTAATGTCATAATGCAGAAAACTTGTTGCTCTTACTAGTAAACATGATTGGCATTGAAGTTTTAGTTTTTAATATGTGAAAATCATTTTCTAGCCTCTTCATAATTTTAAGAGTTTGATTTATTAAGTTTTATTAACATTTTCTTTAAGAAAGAGGTGGGTTATTTGCATGTTTTCTATTTTAAAAAATGAATATATATTTCTAATGGTCATTAAAATACTAAGAACTTACTACTAAATTTGACGAAAATTGCCTTCGTTTGTTTTAGAAGAAGTTGGCAATTGAAAAACTTATAAGATAAAATTACATTAATTAAATAATAACAGTATAGAAATGTGCTGATTACACACTCTTTTCTATATTTTTAACAGCTGTAGGAAAACAAAGAAAAAAACCAGTGCTTACAGGAAATCCTAATTCCTCAGAGTTTTCCAAAATGAATCCTTTATTTCCATTTGGTTGACATGGAAATTACCTGAAGGCTGAAAAGTCATGTCACAACCTTAGTAATAGATTCTCATTCTATATCAGGGGTGTCAAACTGCCGGCCCATGGACCCGATGCATCATGCCAAAATCACACCCATCCCATTGCCGACAATGGAGAAAAAAATCACGATACGTCGCGACATGTCACGTGATGTTGCAAGTTTGACACCCCTGTTCTATATACTCTGTTATCTGTTTTTTTGTTATTAATATACTTTTTTTTACAAAATGCATGGCACCCTACAGTTTTTTTTTACTGTATCTTATGATTAGATTTTGTTCTTAGGGTCTCAGAGGGATTTATTTCCAATGCTTATCAGATTTTAATTATTTATTTTTATTTTTATTTATTTTATTCAATTTTTATCCCGCCCTTCTCCTTACC